CTCCACAGCACAAAACAACAACAACAAGGCATGTCTGCTGTACAAGACCTCTTTAAAGTGTTCAAGAGCAAAGATATCAATTTGAAAACTAAAGTACACCTGACCTCAGCCATGGTATTTTCAATAGTCTTATATGCTGTGGGTTAATGCATTGGCGGGATGGAAAGGTTGGTTTGAACTGCAAGGTCAGTGGTTCAAGCTCACCAGCCACTCCTTGGAAACCCTGTACATGGTCGCGAGGAGTAGGAATCTACTAGATGGCACATAACAACAACATATGCTTGTGAAAGTTGGACAATGAATAAGGAAGACCATAGAAGAACTGATGCATTTGAGTTACGATGTTGGAGAATATTAAAGGTGCCATGGACTGCCAGAAGACCAAACAAATCTGTTTAGAAGAAGTACAGCCAGAATACTTCTTAGAAGTCAGGATAGTGAGACCTCATCTCTTATACTTCAGACATGTTATTAGGAGGGACCAGTCCCTGGAAAAGAACATCATGCTTGGTAAAGTGAAGGGTCAACAAAAAATGGAAGACCCCCACAAGGAAATGGATTGGCACAGAGGCAGCAGCAATTGGCTCAAGCATAACAGTGATCGTGAGGATGACGCAGGATAAGGAAGGGTTTGGTTCTGTTCTTCATAAAGTCACTATGAATTAGAGCTAACTTGATGGCACCTAACAACATCAGAACTTTGCTTGATACGATTGTCTTATCACAAGGAGCTCTGGTAGCGTAGTGGTTACGAGTCTGGCTGCTTATCTCAAGGTCAGCAGTTTGAAACTACCAGTCGTTGGTTCCACAGGAGAAAGATGAGGGTTTCTGCTCCTGTAAAGATTTACAGCCTCGGAAACCCTGTATAAGGTCGCTATGAGTTGTAACCAACTCCACAGCACATTACCACCACCACCACCACCATTGTCTTATCACAGAACTATTTCTTCCCCTCGTCTTTGAAGTCAAAAGTCTTCAATGAATGTTTGAACCCACTAACCATCTTGGCATCCTTCATTCCCTGAGGGTCTTGTCCTTCTAATAAACTGACTTGAGTAGTGATGTGATTGTCTTAATAATGTATGCAGAGCATCATTAGCATTTCAAAGCACATCTCCATGCAAAATCTCAGGTAGTCCTTAGAAAGATCCTATGAAGTAAAGAAAAGGCAAAAGGCATGGTCCTAGTTCTCTTGATGCCCAGTCTTCCTAACAGACTTCTTGACTGGGATCCTTCCTCCCTGGCTTTCATGTCAAAAATATTTCATTCACTAACTTCCTCCTCCCACTCCCCAGCCACAGGCATCCGATATTTGCTTCACCAACAATGCTTCTCTAACGTGATAATGAGGCATGTGATTAGAGAAGAGGAACCCAGATTGGTGATAGATGGACTTGGAGAGTGGCCATGTTTTACTCTTCTGTGCAATCCCAGTAAAAAGCAATGTGCCAAAATTGGATACTACTTTGCCATAAAGACAAATTAAGTTCTTATACATCCTGTACCATGGAGGAACCTTGGAAACATTGTGCTGAGTGAAACAAGTCTGCTTTCATAAAGGTTTACAGCCTTGGAGGCCCCACAGGGTAATTCTACCCTCTGCTGTAGTGTTGCTATGCTTTGGAATTGACTTGACAGTAGTTTGATTTTTTGTTTTTTGGGGGAGGGCCCTAGACTTAAAGGAAGACACAGAATAGTATCATTAATAGCATGAGCATGGAGCCCAGGGCTAGGATTAAAACACAACTCCATTACACATCAGTCATGTGACCTTAGGCAGGCAAATCACTTAAATTCTCTGAGCCCCAAT